ACAAGATGTCTCATACTTCACTGTAAAATCCATTCTCAGTGTTTGTGCACTGCTGGCTTCAAGTTTCTACATCACCCCTTAAAATCAAATTTTCAATGATCACAGATAAACCTTCCACTTTCAGCAGATGAATGTGAAAACATCCTTCAAGTGTAAAACTTGAAGCTCAAACATCTAACTGTAGGAACAAGAAGAAAAACATATTTCTGACTGGAGTGGATCTTTAAACTCAAATTTTAAGTTAATTAAAAGACATTTTAGTATGAAAATCTCTTTTTTGTTGTCAGATTTTTGTTGAATGCTTTCATCATGTTTCTTGAACCCATTTATGGAAGAGGTTTGTAATTTGAAGAAGTATCATGATAATCATGGACTTTAACCAGGATAATGTATGGAGTACTTAATTATATTGCCATGCTATATCCTGATGATGGTGGTGAGACAAATGCTACATATACTTTATCTGGAGAAACGTTTCTTTTAAATATTGCAATTTATAAAAACAAAACAAGCAAAAAAAAAAAAAAAAGTTATTTCTTCCACCACATTTAATATACGTGCAGTACAGTTATAACTACTGTACCTCCTCTAGGTCAAAGGAGTTGCCCTGTTGCAGGTTACTGGAGATGTGCCCCAGGCCCTGATGTGTCACTGGATTCAGGTACTGCCTTTTTTCCTCGTTAAATGACTCCTCACATGACTGGACATGAAGGACAGCTGAAGTATGACTGGAATCTGGTGTGTTCAGGGAACAGGAAGAGAGGTTGTCACCCTCCCAGCCAGTCACAGTGATGCAGCATTGGGCGAGGCTACCACTGGAGGCTAGGACAGGAAGTGATCTGGATGAACCTGTGTGTGAGTCCTCATCAGGCTCAGAGACAGTAGTTTGTTTATGAGATCCAGGACATGGTCTATCAATGCGTTCTGTCTCTGAGGAGATAGGAGGTAAAGTGTTTGTTTTTGGACTATGTGTGCAGAAAGGCGCCTGGTGTACACTCTCGACTATCTGCGTACAGATTAGATCATACGTAACCTTGGCAACTGGTTTTAGAGCAGTCCTTGTGTCACTTTTAGTTGAGTCCAGCTCTGGCTGACATAAAAGAAACTGATGACCTGTTTCTATGACCGTTTCTCCTGAAAATGATGATGCTAGAGATGTTCTTACAGGGTAAGTCCTGCTGTCAAGGTCTGCTGTATTATCTGTTTGTTTACCACCCTGCGTCTCCTTATGACAGATGTTATTTCCATTTTGAAGAGTTTCTGCGTCCGCCACGGTCTGCTGTGTTTTCTCCTCTTTCCCGCTGTCACAGAATTCATCACCATCTGCGACCAGCCTGACATCCACAGCTGAATTACATTCCTCCAAATCTAGTTTCTTGTTCACCCCTGTCTTGGCTTTCTCCAGTACGATATCCACAACTTCGGGGAGGCTGGACCTTTTCCTGGGTGAGGGCTGCGGAGAGGTGGAGTCTGACTCGCGAGGAGAGCCTGTGTAGAGACACATCTTGGAGACGGTGTCCTTCAGCCTCTCTACTGGAGAACGTGGCTCGCTGCGGACGCTGCTCCTGAAGCGTTCGATCCTCTCCACGGGAGATGAGAAGTTAAACTCAGGTGTAGCCAGTTTCTGTAGAGGAGTGCGGGACACGTGAGAGTAGAGGGAATAGAAAGCGTTGGCCATTGCTGTGAGCACTTGCACTTGTCTGAAACGACCTGTGGAAAGAATAAAAATGTAAATTATTACAAGTAAAATGGATCTCATTTACTACATCCCAGTATTATTTCACCTTATCACACATTCAATGATATTATACAGTTCACATGGCAAAGATAACTTACAGAAGAGTGATTCAAAAACTCTATAGTCTTACTAGCTAGAGAAAGGCTGGGGTCTTCCTCTCGTATCCGCCGTAGCTGTGAGTCCAGGAAGAGGCGGAAGTTGATACCCTGAGCCACAGAGGGGAAGGTGAAGAAGCGAGGAGGGATGCGAACAGTGACCTGTGGCTCATCGCAACCGAAACCCAACTCATACAGCGTCTCCTCTGCATCCTCTGAACACAACTGCAGGACCTCTGATATACTAGTGTGCATGTGAGAAAAAAAGTTCAGCTTTTTTTTTTTCCTGTTAAGCCCTGTGAGGCAAATTTGTGATTTTGGCCTTTATATTAATTGACTTAAAAGTTGTACTCAAGCATGTGCAATGCTTATTAAGAGAGTTATAGAGTGCTTTACAAAATAATGAGATATGGGACCAATATAACTGAAAACAATAAATAAAGACAACAAAAGGATGAAATACTATTAAACAGAATAAAAACCGTATATATCATTCAGGTAAAAGCAAGAAAACTGATTTGGAAAGCAGCAACATGTCAGGTCATTCAAAGGCAAAGAGCTGCCTGGGTATTAGTCTTCATACCTACAGAATAATAAACCTTTTAGACGTGTTGAAGCCTCACCTGGATGCAGTTTTACAGGTGGAGGAGGAGAGGCAGCTGGAGGCCATGCTGTGGCCCAAGTTCAGTGACGGCAGACATAGTGCCTGGCGAGGGGTACTATAGAGGAAACGTGAAAAGTTATGACGTGGAAGAAACATCCAGTAAGTGAAGTATTAACCCTAATAATAACTCACAGTTGCACTTCCGAATGTAGTTAGACTAGTCAGTTGTTAGACTGGTCCTTTAAACAAGGAAGAGGTCGGACACTAACCTGGTGAGTCTGCTGTGACCTTGTTTGGACGATGGAGGCCGGGAGAGGCTTCACGGTCCGCACAGATTGAGGAAAGAAGGAAAAATAACAATTCATTCAACAATTCAATTATTAATAAAGTGTCTTTAGTGTTGATTTAGTAATTTCAGAGTCACATGTCGTCAAATATTCTTTCAAAAGTAAAAAAAAAATATATATATATATACCACATAACGGACCACAGTTTAGCCAATCAAGTGATTAATGAGTGCTATCTCATTTACACTTTACAGTAGGAACAGCCTACAATATTCACTAATTAAATAGCACATCATTCCTCGTTTCTTGTTGTTTGTAAATGTAAGATTGCAGTTGCTACTCACCCAGCTTCAGACTTAATTTCTCCACCATTCAACACAGAAGCTGGAACAAGGAAGAACAAGAATGTGTTGATATGAATCTGAATGTCAGTTTCACAGTTTATTTGCAAACATGTGCCCATACAAATATGTGTCTGTGTATGTGTTACCCAAGTGAAATTTGGATTAACAAGACAGCACACCCAGGCGTACAGTCATTAACACTTCATGCCTAATCTTGTTAAGAGAAGCTGTCATACAACTGCTGAAATAAAGACCTTACTTACACCTCACTTACCAGAATGTCACTCAAAAGATTCATTCATATTGCACAACTGTATTCATATACAAAAGACCAAAAGACATATAAACTTAACGGCACTAAGTGATGAAAAACAAAGGCATTATGCAATTCTTTACCCTGCTGTTAGACCCCAGGATATGAGTCTTACTACTTAAATGGTAAAATAATATGATGTTTTGATCTTCCAAAAACTATTATATAACTTTCTATTCTGATGCAAAAACTGTATGTGTGGCCCTGATAGTTCTGTAAATGTAAGTGTAGTTACATGTCATATAAAAAACAGAAATCTTTTATAAATCATTAACTTTTGAGGTATTAACAAACTTCCTACCCAACACTTCCCCTTCTCAAAAAATATCCTTCTTGGCAGAGGTACAGTAATACTGCGAAACACTGGACATTTCTGTAAAATATTACAGCTGATATGAACAAACGGATCAGTCTCTCTCTGTGCATCTTTGTCACCACTGTTACAAACAATGCATTAGCTTGTTGCACCTCATTTTCCTACAAGGACATTTCCTGCTTTGTGTGCGTGTGTGAGTGTGTG